CCCTACTGAGGGAAAAACAAAAGACAGCTTTTAGCCCAGGTTTACAGACCTGATTCTTGTCATTTGAGAAGTGTTGCTTATGTTATTCATGTACTTGTATCTTCTGAAATCCCAAACCAGATGGTAATTAGGTTTTACTTTTTTACTATTGATGTTTACAGCCAATAAATAATGCATACTCACAGTTGGCGAGGCATTTCATTGCTGATACAACCCAATAGGGCATGTCCTCTGAAGATGCAAAAAGAAAGAGGCTTAATATTCTTACAAGCTGAAACAAACACACAAAGCAACTGTTCTTCCAATTGTCAATCAATGCATCATACCGGCTTTGTTCTCCAATATGACTATGCCTGTCTTATTAACACTGAACACATTGTGAACAATGTGTTTGCCATTCACATGTGTTGGGTTTAAAACTCCATCCAATGACTTTAGGCCCAGCACTCTCTGCAAACTGAAACAACAAAGTAAAAACCAAAGAAGTACAAAAAAACTACAAGCAACATGAAAAGAGAACATATTTAATAAGGGTTACCGTACATACTTCGCTACAGTTATCGATTTCCAGATGTGGTCCACTTGTTTTGGAGTAATCTCCTTCCTGCGTATGAGCTTGCATTCATGTACATCTCCAATAGCTACACTGTGCCTTTTATTCCACAAATCTGAAGTCTGATCAAAAAGAAATGGAGACATGAGAGAAGGAAATCCTCTTAACTTGCACACAAACAGAACAATCCCTGTGCAATAACAACCCAACATAACAAACCTGCAATTAAATAAAAACTCTAATGGAAAAAACTCATAATAGGTGTTAGACATGCATTAAGTTTCAAATATAGGAACTTTGTCAGCAGATGAAGAACTAAAGCAGCAGTCTGAACAAAAACTGAAAAGAAGTATAACCTTGAGTGCAGATTAATGTAGATGGCAGGTCAAACTAGGAAGTGAAATTCCAAAAAAAATCCTTGATTTCATTTAGCACTTTTCTCTCTATTAAGTTTGCACACTCTTATACACAAGAACAGCACGAGTCAAAACAAACACTGGAGGGACTGAAACATTTTGTCCCT